GGTCATTAGCAGCCAACGCTTCCCTGCCGTGGAACCTGCCCGAGCTGGGCAACCTGAAGCACATGACTCAACCTCAGTGTCCACTGGAGACAGAGAAGTGAGACAGATTGCATGCAGCAAGAGGAGGGCTCAGGCCCGTGGGTGGGTGTGGGTGGAAATGGACTAAGGCATTCCAGGGTTGCTGCATACAGATTTCTGTTTTCTTCTTCCGTGGAAAAGAAACGCCCCAGGAGACAGACTCCAAATTCTTCAGTTCCACTTCGCTCTGGCACGTCACACCTGAATTAAACCAGCTTCTGCCCTAGTTTCTTCACCACCACCCCCCGCCCCAGCCTCCACCTCCACCTCCAATATGTGGCAGATCAGGTGCATCCCTCCCTGACGCCCCCACCCGCTGGAATGGTCTTCAGGCAGCACCTTGGGCAGAGGAATGCCAGCAGAGGGGAAGGCTGGCTGCTCTCCAAACTCGCCCAGACCTTCTCTCGGCCTCTGACCTCTTGCCACAGGCTCAGCCGGGACAGAGCTGGGGGTGCCTGATCCCGCTCGGCTGAGGAGATGGGTAACTTGGGTTCTGCCCCTTCCTCGCTTATGTCATCCCCCCTCAGCTGCCATCCTTTCTCTGGAAACGTCCGTCATGATGCACTGAAATGGGGCAATGAGGTGTAGACACTCAAGATCCTGGCTGGAGCCTCAGTGCCCTCATCTGTAAAATGGGCGGGTTGAATTAAGGATACACCGCGTTCCACACTTTGATGGTCTAAGTTATTCTTGCCAAAGGAGAGGTGTATTGCCTTGGTTTTTCTCTGAAGTATCATGGGGATGAAGCACTATCGTCCACTATTCTTGTCTTGTCCACCGAGTGTGGACCCCAAGCCCGGGGACAGGGAGCAATGAACGCCCAGGACTGAAGGCTCCTTCGAGGCGGAGGCCTCCCTGGTCCTCACCGGTTCCGTACGCCAGCCCTGAGTCCGGGCTGCCGCTGCGTCACTCATCTCTCATCATTTATCCTCTCCAGAGTCACAGCCACCTCTTCCTCCTCTTACTGGGTTTTTTGCCATTGTTTTCCTCTTAGAATTTACCAACCCCCTTCCCCCCTTTCTCTCAAATTGTCTTCATCTCTAAGGCCTTTCCCAGCCACCTTGTGTCTGAGGCCTTCAGGACTGCTTTCCTCTGGACGGTACCGCCGCCCACATTCTTTAAGCCCAGGCCCCTGACCCCCACTGTGCCGCATGGCAGGGCCACCCACCGCCTCTGTGGCCAGATCCGGGCCGTCCTCATTTCTCACCTCGCTGATGCCCGGCCGCCGGTGACACTGCTCACATCCTCCCTGGGCCGCCCTTCCAGGATGCCCTTCTCGCTCCTGGGCTGCTCTCCCTCACGGACTCCCTCCTTCTCAGCCTCCGCAGGCGCCCACTCGGCTGCCAACATCGGCATTTCCCCGTGACTCACCCCCGGCACAGCCTTCTTCTCCCCTTCACACTCCCACCGGGATCTCATCCAGCGCTTCTGCAGGTGGCTCCCGAACTCATCCAACCCAGACGTCTCTCCTGAGATCCGGCCCCACACGCCCAACTGCCTCCCAGAGCCCTTCAGGCCCCTCTTACCTAACGCAACAATCACCACAGCGTAGCCACGATAACAGCCCGGGCGGGGGCCGGGGGGGAGGGCGCACAAGGCCCTCACACAGGAACTCCAGCTCCCAGCAGCAATAGCCGGTGCACACTTTTATTCTCACCCCGATTTTGCAGAGGAGGAAACTGAAGCATAGAGAGGTTGAAAGAAGCCAACCTCCTAACCACTGCGTTTTGGTTTCCTCAAAACCAAAGTTGGCCTGGCCCACCGCCCCTCCCCTCATCCTGGGACCAGCACCACGGTCCTCCCGTCTGACCAGTCACCCTCCAGCCCATCCTCACGGCCACTAGCTCCTTCCACAGGCCCCCTTCATCTCCCTCCTGACTGACCTGTCTCCAGCCTCATCAGCCCCTCTATCCCGCTTCCTAAAATAGAAATGTGAAGATCAATGCTTCCCTCCGCCCAGATAAAATCACATGCCTGAGGGGGCTTTCTGGGCTGGGCCTGCTTCCCCTTCTCTTCGCCCCCACAGCACTGACTTCATCCCTTGTTACTTCCCACCACCTCCTCTCTGGCTTCCACCACCCATTTCCCCAAGCCCCCCGCTGTTCACGCCTCATCCACATTTGGCCACCCCTTCCTAAACACGCTCCCCTGTAGTCAGGCGCCTTCAATACTTAGCTCAAATGCGACCACCTCCAGGAAGCCTTCCCTGACCTGCCCCTGCCAGCCCGGGGAAGGTATCTGTGGTTACCGGGTTTCCCCTCAGAGCAAAGCCTTGCTGTTTACACGTTGCCTTATCCACTGACCCCAGGGCCGGGGCTTTGTGGTTTGGGTTTTCTCACTCTGCTAACAGAGGGCACATATCCTCGGCCTCCACTTGGGCTTGCTGAGTAAATGACGAACCAACAAGGAGTATTCACTCCTTGGCCCAGAGGTTTCCAGGCCAGAAGTGGAGGGGTCCCCCAGAATTTCCATTAGGGCCCTAACCCCACCCTGACACCTGCCCCTTCCCCATCCCCAGGCGAACCGAAGTTTCGAGGTCAGGGGGAACCTTCAGCTGGAACCAGGGGAATTAGGAGAGGTGGGCAGGGGATTGGCATCCACACAAGCCCAGATCGGTGGCGAGGCAAGAGGGGCAGGTCACGCCATCTCCGCTCAGAACAACTCCTGGATGGAGTGTGTCAGCTGCGGGGCCCCTGTGTCTGCTTTTGTCACACTCTCCGCCCTCCACGTCTGAGTCATTCTGACAACTTCCCTCTCTAGCTCCGGCCTCTTGACCACCTCTCTGCTCACTTGCTTCAGCGGTTCCCAGTGGCTCAGGAGCTCCGGAGCCCACGTCTGACCTCCCAGTCATGAGCAGGACCAGGACAGCCCTTCTCCTGTTGATGGGTAAGCTGGGAATGAAGGGGGGCGAGGAGGATGGGGTCCAGGGAGGGGGAACTGAGAATGCATGTGCTCTGGACTCAGACATCAGGAGAGGGATCTAGGGGTTGAGATCTGGAGTTTGTGGAGAGAGGAGATTGAAGGGCCCATCTGTGGGGTGTAAGAGGAGCTGGGGGAGAGGCTGGTTGCCCGGACAATCCAGAGATCCCTCAGGTAGGCAGGACCAGCTCACTGTGTGCTCTGTCCACAGTGCCCCTTTGGGCTCAACTTTCCCTGGATCCCCCCTCTTAGGAGCCCCCAGGGTGGGGTGGGGAAGGCGCACCTTTAGAGTGGGGGCAGCGGGAAGGTGTAACTTGGCAGAAACTGAGAGTTGAAACTTGCCAGCCGGCCACTGGGTGAGGCGCTGTCTCTGGGCCGTCTGAGGCTGTCTGAGAGCAGCAAGGCGGGGGCGGCCCACGCCCGGGTGGGCGGCCAGAAGACCAGGAGACACTGGGGCACTGGGCCTAGCGAGGAAAGAGGGGGTCAGGCCCGGGGAGACGAAGCAGAGGAGGAACCTTCTTCAAAGCTTCTCTCTGCACCCTCCTCCCCAGGCGTGGCTTCCTCTCTCTGCTTCAACTTGGACACGGACAAGCCGACCATCTTCCCCATGCACAGCGCCGGGTTTGGACACAGTGTGGTCCAGTATGCCAACTGGTGAGGACTGGGGTGAGGGGAGGGCGGCGACTGGCCTCGGTCACCTCATCAGCTCCTCTCCTTACACAGCGTTCTGCTCCTCCCCACCACGCCCTTAGTTCACAAGCTCTCCCATCTCTCTGGTGGGCCATTCCCCCAGGGCCATGGTGAGCTGGACTGAAGGCGGTGCTGTCCGGCCACCTCGATGATCAGAGCTCGCTAACATTTATTGAGCACTTACTCGGCGCCAGACACTGGGCCCCGCACCCTTTACGTGGGTATGGTTTTAGTCCTCAAATCAACAATTATTGAGCACCTACTGTGTGCCTCAGGAGCCAGTCATACACCAGAGAATAAAACAGACAGAAATCCCTCCCATGCAGAACTTAAATAAATTGTTATTAATCTCCTCTTGAGACAGATGAGGAAACTGAGGCACAGAGAGCTGAAGCACACTTGCTGGAGTGGCAGTCTGGCGTTAGTGCCCACACTACTTTTATTTTCTGTTAGTTTCACGTGTCCATCATAGTGCTTAGACAACTGCATAATCTATGAAGTGACCCCCCTGATCATCCTAGTACCCACCGGGCACGGGACGTACTTACCACACAAATATTGCCCACAGTCCCTATGCTGTGCTTCCCATCCCCGCGACTATCCTGTGACTTCTCCTTCCCTTCCCCTCTTTCCCCCAGCCCCCTCGCCCCTCCCACCCGGCAGCCCTCAGTGTGTTCACTGTATCCGAGTCTGTTTTGTTTGTGTGTATTTTGTTCTTTAGATTCTACATCTACCAGTAAGTGAAATCACACGGTATTTGTCTTTCTCTGTCTGCTGTGTCCACACGCTTAACTGCAGTGTTCTTTGTCTCCCCCACAGGGTGGTGGTGGGAGCCCCCCTGGAGATAAAGGCTGTCAACCAAACCGGTGGTCTCTACCGGTGTGACTACAGCACGGCCACCTGTGAGCCCATCCAGCTGCAGAGTGAGTCCCGGCCCCTCCCTGGGACCCAGGTTAGGTGCCCATGCTCCAGGGGGTCTGTGCGGAGCACAGGGGACCCACGTTCCAGCTTCAGCTCTGTCTGAGAACCCTCACCGTCAGACATGCTTCCTGGCCTCCCTACCCATGGCCCTCCTGCACCCCAGAGCTCCGTCAAGAGCTGGGAGTCCCCTTCATGTGTCAGACCTCCTTGTCTCCCAGGGATGAGGCGACCTCTGCCCAGACTGTGCATAGCTCCTCTGTCCTGGGGGTGACCATCACCTCCCTGTCCCCTCAGCGCCCCCAGAGGCTGTGAACATGTCCCTGGGCCTGTCCCTGACAGCTGCCACCACACCCCCTCGGCTGCTGGTGAGTCGCCCTGGGTCACCAGAGCGTCCTGAGGAGGGTGGGGACCTGGGACTGCAGGAGCGGGGCTCTTGTGGAGGGTGGGGTGCTGGGATGGGACAGAGGCAGGAGCTGCCCTGCCCACCACCCTCTGTCCCCAGGCCTGCGGCCCCACTGTGCACCACGCATGCAACGAGAACATGCACTTGGCCGGGGTCTGCTTCCTGTGGGCCTCCTCCTCCTGGCCGACCCGGAGGCTCCCAGATGCCCTGCAGGGTGAGTGTCTGGGCCCTGGGTGTTTCGAGGAGCCCACACACATCTCGCTGGAGGCGTAGTGGGGCCAGAGACACTCTACCAATGCAGGTCGAAAAGAGGGAACTGGCCTGGCTGGTGTGGCTCAGTGGTTGGGCGTTGACCCAGGAACCAGGTCACAGTTCAATTCCTGATCAGGGCACATGCCCAGGTTGTGGGCTCGATCCGCAGTAGGGGGCGTGCATGAGGCAGCCGATCAATGATTCTCTCTCATCATTGATGTTTCTCTCTCTCTCTCCCTCTCCCTCTCCGGTCCTCTCTCTGAAATCAATAAAGCCATTAAAAAGAAGAGAGGGATCTGGAAAAAGGTTTACTGGGTTGTGTAGTGGATCAAACATGGTGGGAATCACTGCCGCCTTCACCGCCTGCCCTGTGACGGCTACTGCAGCCTCTCCTGTGCCCTCGCCCTCTCTGAGCCCCCTGCTCCATCTGTCGGATGGGCATAGTAACACCCAGTACAGAGCAACACCAGACGTCCACGGCCAGAGCTTAGCACAGCGCCTGGCATGTGCTGAGGGCTCAGCGATTGCCAACTGCTATTGTTTTTAGAGAGAAGGGGGTTTATTTTCACCCAGTGTAGCTGGGATAGATATGACCGATTGGTTTGTGCAGCCAAGAAAGGGTGATGAGGGCAGGCAGTCTGAATGTGTCCGTGCATGATGTGTCTGTTCGTGTGTATGATGTGTGTACCGTTATACTATATGTGTGTATTTGTGTGTGTATGTGTGTGATGTGTGTATGTATCTATTTGTGTGCGAGGATGACGTGTGTATGTGTGCATTTGTGTGTGTATGATGTGTGTTTGATGTGTGTATTTGTGTGTATGATGTCTGTGCATTTGCATGTGAGTGTATGATGCATTTATGTGTATTTGTGTGTGTATGATTTCTGTGTGAGTGTATGATGTGTGTATATGGTGTATGTGTGCATTTGTGTGTGAGTGTATGATGTGTGTATGTGTGTGTATGATTTGTGTGCAAGTGTGTGTATGATGTGTATAGTGTATGATGTCTGTGTATTTGTGTGATTTGTGTGTATTTGTGCATGTATGATGTGTGTATGATGTGTATTATGTCTGTGTATTTGTGTGTGTGATGTGTATGTATTTTTGTGTGAGTGTATGATGTGTGTGCATGTGTCTTTGTGTGTGTGAGTATGTATGGTGTGTGTATGATGTGTGTATGTGTGTGTGATGTGTATGGTGTCTGTGTATTTGTGTGTGATGTGTATGTATTTGTGTGAGTGTATGATGTGTGTATGTGTGTCTTTGTATCTGTGTGTGTATGACGTGTGTGTGTGTGTGAGTGTGTATGATGTGTGTGTCTCTCTGTGTGTGTGTGTGTGGTGTGTATGCTGTCTGTGTATTTGTGTGTGATGTGTATGTAATTGTGTGAGTGTGTGATGTGTGTATGTGTGTCTTTGTGTGTGAGAGTGTGCATGATGTATGTGCGTGTGTATGTGTGTACGATGTGTGTATGTGTATGTGTGTGTGATGTATATGGTGTCTGTGTATTTGTGTGTGATGTGTATGTAATTGTGTGAGTGTATGATGTGTGTATGTATGTGTGTGTGTGATGTGTGTGTGTGTGTACGATATGTGTGTGTGAGTGTATGATGTGTGCATGATTTGTGTGTGTGTGTGTGAGTGTGAGTGTGTATGATGTGTGTGTGTGTGTGTTAGAGAGTATGTATGATGTGTGTGCGTGTGTATGTGTGTACGATGTGTGTGTGTGTGTGTGTGTGTGTGTGCGCGTGCGCACAGGTTGAGGCACAGCGTCTGGCTTCCCGGTGCTGGTGGGAATGGAAAATGAGGAAGTGGAACAGTGAGTTCTTCACACAGCCCACAGCCACCCAAGGCCCCGCCCTGGTTTCACTCTCACACTCAGGCCCTTGGGGAGGCCGGCATGGGCCACTGAATGCAGTGCCCCTTGCAGCACCTCTAGGCTCTAACTTGACCCACAGGCACTGGGCTCCCCAGGGAACACCCAGGACGCCACTTTCTCGGGTGGGAGGCTGCTGAGGCAGAAAGAGGAGCTGAGAGCTGGGCAGCCTCCTCTCCTGAGGGCAGACCCCTGTTCACCCAGGAGGGAAGTGGGGTCCTGCATTTAAGCGGAGAACAGAATAGGGCCAGTGTGTGGCTGTTTCCAGGGGTGGCATTACAAATATTTAACAGCCCTGGCCTGGTAGCTCAGTGGTTAGATCATCAGCCCATGCACCAAAGGGTCTTGGGTTCGATTCCTGGCCAAGGGCACATACCTGGGTTGCAGGTTTGATCCCCAGCCCTGGTCAGGGCATGTGCAGGAGGCACCCAATTGATGTGTCTCTCTGACACTGATCTCTCTCTCTCTCTCTGTCTTTTTCTTTCTCCATCTTTTCCCTTCCCTCCCCCCCTCCTTTACTCCCTCCCTCCCTCCCTCCCTCCACTCTCTAAAAATCAATGGGAAATACCATCGGGTGAGGATTAACAGCAACAACAAGTTAAAAAACTTAACAAAAATTCAGTTCAGCTCCAAACAGTGAGGAGGGAGCCTGGCCAGGCCTGGAGCAGTGGAGATGCGGTGGGGAGAGGTGTGGAGGGCCAGGGGGCCGGCCCCCCAAGGTAGAAGAGGGGAGCAGCGTCTTACCATCTGCATTGCAGGACCTTCCATGTTTTTACCAACCAGGCTGGCTGCGCAGGTGTGAGCAGCCGAGTCCTAGGTGCAGCCTCTTAGAGACTCCAGGAGACCGCCGGGCCCTGTTCCGGGGAGGGGGCA